ATCTAATGGTTTCAATTCTTTGTTTTTTGTTTTGAACACTGGTTTTTTTTTAGAATACTAATTACACCATTTTTACATATATTTATCTATGCAGAAGATAGTGACTCTGATGATACCGAGGTTTTATCGGGTCGTGGTACTGATGATGATTATGGTTTTGAGGATTATATGGGGTCTGATTCAGAGACGGGGTGAAGATACTGATGATATGGACCAAACAGATGAATATGATTCTGAGGATGATTTTATTGACGACGATGAGTCTTGTGAAGAATCTGATGGTTCAAGTGATAACTCAGAAGATGATAGCGGTGATGACGAAGATGAAGATGGTGACGATGCCGATTCAACTGATGATAATGAAAATGATGATGAAGATGTTATGTTGGATGATGAGACTGATATTGACGATGATAGTGAAGATCAGCGAAACGTCGAACTGAGTGATATACTCATCGAAAAAAATATTAGTATATCTGGACACCAGGATTCGGTGTGTACTTATACAGTTTTTCTTGGTTCAATGTGTTTTGGTAGGTGTGTTTCACGTTTGAGTCCTTCCAAAGATGGTTGTACTATCTTTGTTAAGGTTTTACAAACGTGGGTGCATATGCTAATTTCGAAACGTTCTTCCATGGAGCTCATATTGTCAGATGAACAGGTATTTATTGTACTATTACACAAAAATATTCTAAATTTTTGTTGGTGTCTAATTGACTGTTTTATTCACAGGGTGTAAAAATTCAGGCCACTGTTAGTGATGGTGAGATCAGTGTTGCATCGTCTCGCATAGATGTTGGTAGTTGGATTATTATCAGTCGTTTTTCTGTTATCGATTGTGAGGATAGTTGTAGACCGACTTCTCATAGATACAAAATATTGTTCCTACCATCAACTATCATTGACAAGACTTCACGTAGATGTGAAAATGCCTATTTTGACTTCGTTGATTTTCAAAGGATATTGGATCGTGCCTATGATGATGACTATTTAGTTAGTGTGTTTATTTTCGATTTAGTTATTGAATTTCGTTATTATTATCTTACTGATGTTAACATTGTTTAATTTTTGTTGTCTATGAAGATTTGATAGGTCGTGTCTTAAATGTAAGTCTATCTGGGACGTCCTGTGATTAACTGACTGGAGAGCATTCTTTTCCTTCATATGGCAGCCTATGTAATGATATATGTGATTCCGAGATATGGGGTTCATATTCAACCGTCACGTTCTGTTTTAGAGATAAACGGTACTGTCTGCTGAATGTTTTAAACCGTATAATGTCGTTTTAATTATTCTATCCATCTGAATATGTGTGGCATGTTTTAATTTAGTGGTGTTGATTTGAGTTGTGAATTGCTCGGTGAGATGGCGAAAAACTTTTATGCATCTTGGAGACGCTGTGATCAAGATATCATTGTGTGTGTGCTTAGATGGGCCGTTATTGATTATTTTGGAGGTATTTTTAGTATACTAATTTATATTCTCTATGTTCGTTTCGTTTTATTGTTTTGACTCTGTATTTTGTTTTATCAACATAGGCAAGATCACTATATCTTCCACATCTCCTACTAAGTTCGAACTCAATCCCTGTATTCCTGAGTTAGATGAGTTTTTGGAACAGTGAGTTTCTAATACTTAATGTTTGTATTTTGATTTTTTAGTATTAATTCGTGGTCGCTTTCTCTCTCTCAAATCTTTTTTATAACAATGCAGATATCCGCGTAAGAGGCCATGCACGCGTGGTAGTGTGGGACGTCTACATTGAATAGTGTTATGACGTCTACATTGAATATCATTTTAAAAAATGATTTATCATGTATACAAATTATAGTTTAATTATTCTTTGTTCTTCAGACTTCTTTATTTTAATCAATAAATATATTTTTTAATGTAATTATTATTGTTATTTGATATTGAACTATAGAAAGCGGAGAAAATAATATAAGTTATATATTCACATAAATAACGCATGTTTTTATTGATTTCTTAGACTCCAAGTAACTCATATTTATAAATATTTAAGAGGATTCGAATATATCCCCGATCATATCAAAACTTTTAGTTTTTTCCATTTAGTGTCTATGAAAATCATGGTGTTTGAATGGATTATTTTATTGATTTCTTGGACTCCAAGTAACTCATATTTATAAATATCTAATAGGATTTGAATATATCCCCGATCATACCACAACTTTTGTTTTTTTTCATTTAGTAGCTATGAAAATCATGGTGTTTGAATGAATTGTTTAATTACTTATTAAAAAGGAAAAACTCGGTAGTTGAGAGGTGTATAAAATGTAAATAAAGGAAAACATTCTAAGAAACCCTAGAAAAAAAATAAACAACGCGTAAACCACATAATTCTTATATCTCTATATATATATGCATATATTTCGGTATAGGTATATATATACGTCTATCGCGACTTCACGAGTTATCAGTCTGCATTGTTAGAATTGTTTGCATTCGGGTTCTTCGATGGAAGCGTTTGGTAAATGAGTTTTATATTACGTTTTTGAGGACGTCACTAATCGTTAGTTTTCTTTACGGTATTCTATTGATTGTTGTTATTGTATATATGATTGTTGTTCTATTGTACATGTCTAGGTGCTCACAGGCGACCACGTGTTAATTGGCAAGTTATGCCGTTTCATCTCCCGGGGAAAAATATTGTGTTTTCTAATAATTTAGATAGATGTGTTGCTGCTAGAAAACCTAAATTCCTTGCTTGGTTTAGGTGTAATCAGTCTTATCCAGAGGCAAGGAATCTTTTATACTCGGAGATTCCTTCTATATTTGTATGGGATCGTAAAAATAGGACATGGAGGCCAAGACCAAAAGGAAATTCTGGTGCTTGTGTTGTGGACGAATCGCCGACAGAGTATGGAGAAGAGTATTATCTGAGGCTATTATTGGACATAGTTAGGGGTCCACGTAGTTTTGATGATATTAGGACTGTTGGTGGAGTCGTTTATCCTTCGTTTAGAAGTGCATACCATGCATTAGGGTTCGTTGGTTGATTATCAGAAGACAGTAATTTTTTACCATATTTTTTTTTAGTTTCTTTATCGTGGTATACTTATTTCTTATTTTAACAAAAGTAATATATAATAAATGATATTAGAATAATTATATATATCAATTTTGTTAGAATAATAAAGTTTAATTATAACATAGTATTATTCCGCTTTTCCGTAATCTTATCGTTGCTTATATTTTATCAAATTAAAATAAAATAAATATATATTTTGAGATATGATACGGCGTATATATAGAGTTGTTTATCATTCTTTTGGTGTTTTGTAAACTGCAAACTTCGGTCGGTGTATTTGTGATGGATAACTCATATCGTTGCTTTTCTTTTACCGAGTTCGAGTATATAATAGATGGATCCTGCGACGTTAACAGTTGTGTGGGTAAGCTGTGTGTATTACGTATGTTCTTGTGATATGACACATATTATGTTTTGTAAGTTATAAATCGCTATAGTGTTGACTTGCCTTTTTAGGTTTTTACCGTTAAGATCTAATTGGACGTGTTATGACTGTTGGAAACTACGTTGATCCACAATATCCTTTTGAAAGCTACATGATGAACGAGATATATATCGATTTGGAGAATCAGAGGTATTGTGTATTATCATACAGTTTAGAATTCAGAGCTACTTATTTATAACCAATTTTCCGCTGATTGTTTTATTTTATAATTATTAGAGGATGTCGTCTACCATGTCGTTTGGTTGGTAATTTTGGTCGAGATTTTCTCGATGGTTTGACGCATTGTGATGATGATATGATAATATGTATCGTTCTGGCTGCAAAAGTTGATATCATTCGAGGTATTCTAAGGCTAGAATTTATGATACTTTTTCGAATATATATATAACTATATAAAAACTATAAGTGTTTGTTAAGTTATTAATTATTTTGATTTTTTTTTGTGATATTAAGGTAATTGGATGGCTGTAGCGGCTCCTAATTACACACGGATAATGTTGGCACCAGCTTTTCCTGAAGTAGTACGTCTCCAGGAGGCATTGGTGTCAACCAATCGATATTGATTTCCATTCCACGAATACATAAATCTTTGAATAACATCCTATGCATTTTTTTATATCGTGTAAAACTACATTGCAGTTTTTTAGTTTGTTATTTTTCATTTTCTTCTCATATGAATTATCTTATATATCTCTGCGTGTGTGCGCGATTTTTACACTATATTATAGAAATTGTTCATTTTATATTTAGACTAATAATTGTTCTTTCATGCAATATATTATTTAATAATTGTAAATGTTATATACAGAGGATAAATTATACAAATGATAAACTGTAAAGATATTTTGATTGATCCCATTTTATCTAATTTATTATTGTTACACTTAATTATTGATATGTATTATCGTTTTTAGTAACTTAAACACATCGTTGAGGAATAATTCCTTAAATTGTTTGTCTAAATCACTAATTATTTATCTATTAAATATATTTTCTACTTTGTATATACAATTACTGTAATGTTTGCCACTTTTAAAATTGAATTTAATTTCATTATGTTAATTTTCCGTTAAAGTATATCTAAATCGATATTAGTTGAGTATTATTTTATTATTATATACAGAGAATAGAAGATTTTATCGTTTTTAACATTTTTAAAGTAGAGAAAAATAGAAGATTTGATCGTCTTTACCTTTTGTTGCGATATTTGTATATTCTAAAAAGTTGTAAATCATATCCGAATTAAGTCTAATTTACATATATATATATATATATATATATATATATATATCATGTCTCCTACTATATATATAGATACCCATTCTTCGTCTGGATCTCTCCCAATCTTTTCTCTTTGTTATAATATCGTCTGGTCTAAACTATGTCGATTTTTAAAAGAAAATCAGCATCTAATGTTTTCGTTAGGGATTTACGTCCTGGCACAAAGTTAATATCCTCAAGATTTGGGATGGATTCAAAGGTAGAGGGGGGTGTTCACTTGAGATGGTCTTGGTTGATCTAGAGGTTAGTCCTATAATTTATGAATATCTCAGTTAGGCAATTATTTGTTGGTTAATTTTTTTTTATTGTCCTTTGGAACTTAGGGTGATAGGATACAAGCAACTGTTGAAAGGTTTTTCGCTAAATCTTTTCGTAAAGATTTGGTCGAGGGGAGATCGGTGCTTATCAATACTTTTAAGGTTGTTGAGTATAATTCTGAGTATCAAACTACACGAACGCCTTTCAAGATAGTGTTCTATGCAACTACAACTGTCTCTGTATGCTTGAATTTTCTTCAAGAGGTTCCTGAGAAATATATGAAAAGTTTTCCAGATATTTTATCAAATGATTTGGACAATGGCTACTTGATCGGTAACATATCTAAACTGAGACGCATATTTTTTTTAAAATATTTTTATGACACGGTATTTTTTATGACACGGTAATTGTTTTGGTTCTTTCGTTTCGTGTTATTTTATTACAAACGCTAAGACGTGGTCGGACAAATCGTAAGAGTTGGTCATGTTGAGGACGTTATGGCTCAAGGAAAACGTCGTTCTAGACTTAAGATTTATCTTAGGGATGAGAGGTAACATACTTAGTTCTAATTTAATAATTTATTTTATTTTGTGTTATTTTTTAGTTATATGATTTAACTCATGATCATGTATTAATTATAACAGCGATCTACAATTACCATGTACTCTTTGGGCTGATTACGCAAAAGAAGTTGCTGATTATGTTAAACGTAATTGTGTATCCGTCGTTGTGGTTATTATAAGGCTTGCGTGTATCGAAAACTATCGAGGTATATTACTTAATTATTTATACTGATTCAGTTTTAGTGACGATTATGAACAGTTTTATCATAGATTATATATATTTCTGATACATCGATTATTTATACTTTTTAGGTGAGATGAGCGTTTCAAATGCTTTTAATACAACTCAGATTTTGTTTGATCCAGTTTGTCCTCTTGTGGCGAAATTCCGATCTGAGTAAGGATTTATTCAATGGAATTACAGTACGGTTTTATTTGTACATATGTTCGTTCTACTATAATTAGCTTCTGTATTTTTCCGTTTAGGTTGCCTCAAGATAAGTATATTCTCATTCCTAACGAAGATGATTCGAGTGTAGATTCTAAAGATTCATTAGACAATGAATTTTTGGGAACTAATATTAGGCGAAAGTTAAGTTCTATACATTCGATCGATACGGTATGTGAATATGCGATACTCTATTATTTATGTTTATAAAAAAAATTTGTATATCGGTGGTTGTCGTTGATTGTTTCGAGTAAGCAGGTTGGTAAGTATGTGACATTGGCGACTATACACTCGGTTGCCAATAGTAATTCGTGGTATTACATAGCATGCAAGAAGTGTGAAAAAAGGTTCATCCTATACCCGAGAGAGACCATGCTCCTTCGCCGCCGTCTTGGAAATGCATTAATTGCAATAGTAATGTTTATGAGTCTGAAGTTGTTGCTAGGTAGTCAATCTCTATTCTTTGAATTCGGTGTCCACATACTTTTATAATCATTACGCCGTATATTTTTTTATATTTATAAAATTAATTATCTAATTATTCTTTTATAGTTTCTTTCTGTTGTTGAACGTGGACGATGGTTTTGGAGGGACGGCAGTCTTTGTCGTGTTTGACAAAATTGCTCAAAAATTGTTTAAGAAGACTGCCGAGGAAGTTTTCGAAGAGTCTGTTGGGGTACACTTATTGTTTTATTTGATAAGCGTTATGATTATATACCTCAATTAAAATATTTCTAATATATTTTGTAGGATAATTCATCTGGACTGCCTCAATCACTGCGTGATCTAGAAGGAAAAGAGTTCCTTTTTAAGGTTGTTGTAACTGAAGATAATGTCAAAAAGGTTAAGAATTCGTTTTCGGTTGACCGGTTTACATCTGATGACTACATGATTCAGACGTTCTGTAGTCAGGTCTATTCTGAGGTATGCTTTTGATTCTTATTTTGTCTGGATATTTGGATATATAACTATGCATAACGGATTATTTATTTGATATGTTTTTTTTTTTTAGCCTCCGTTTTTGGAAACCTTCGTCGATGAAGATAGAGGATCACATGTTGAGAAAACTCTGCCTGCCTGTTCTAAAAGTGATTGTGATGATCCTCATGTCAGTGTCGATGTAAATGCAGAAGACTCTATCGAGAAGATTGTACCTGCATCTTCTAAAAGTGATTGTGATGCTCCTAATGACATTGTTAAACTAAATACAAATGTCACACTCGAGATGACAGCTCCTGTGGGTTCTAAAAGAGATTGTGACGATCCTGACGTCATTCCTACTCCTGTCAAAACATCTGGATCTAGAAGGAAGAAGAATTCTATGTCATAGGATGTTTAGTGATAATGAGTTCGCTATTATATTATCTTAAATTTTATGTTTCGAGTTTTGGTAGAACCTTTTTTATTGAGAATATTAATGATTTAGATTTTATGCTTACTTAATTTTTATTTAATTTGAAAGAGTTCAATTTGAAAGAGTTGTTTTTCTTTTCTAAAAATGATTTATTTCTATTCAATTTTATGTTTACAATCATCGCGTGTATCGCATATTCACATCCTGTCTGTAAATCATTTTTTATCGCATTTGTTTTATTATGCTTATCAAGTTTGATATTATGTCGATAATTCATTTATTATTCTCTTAGATATGATAGTGGGGTTATAATCAATAAACCTTTTAAAGCTCAGTTTTGGGATTTAGGTTTATCCTTGAACACATATACGTAACGTCCTGGAAACTGTCGTGACTTTGAAAACTGATTCTATTGCGACCCGATTCATATAAATCTAAACTATGTCCTTTTTTTGTTGTAATTATCAAAATTAATAAAATGTATATATATCACGATATAGTTAAATAAATATCGTGATATATATATTACGATCATAATATTTGTACGAATAAGTATCCAGTATATGTAACAAATGAATTATATATTCAGTGTTAATGATTCTCGAAGATTCTAGAGAAGATTTATTCTGTTTTATTTACGTGTGCGTATATTTATGAAATAAAACAAAAATGTCAAATATTTATGAAATAAAAACAAAAATGTCAAATTTCCAATAGAAAAAATGCCAAAATTATAATAAAACCCTAGAATACTCGGTTATATATAGATGTAGTGTCATATCGTGGTTTATTCTATTCTTTGCTGCGTACTTTTTCTTTATACCTCTATAATGAACTCATCAGGTGCGATATATACTATACATCCAACTTGATATCGTATACTATACATCCAACTTTATATCGTTTTGTGTTTATTAAGTTCTGTTTTCATATTTATATTGGTTTGTAACTTAGATCTAATTATGTTTCGTAGGTGCAAATACACGTGGAAGTGTTCGTCTAAACGTTTTGCCTTTCCATCTTCCTGAATCTGAGATTGTGATGACTGATGAAGGCGAGAATCTTGGTCCTAATCGAACATCTAAATTCACGGCTTGGATGAACTGCAACAAAGAATACCCGGAAGCTAGGATGCTTACGTATTCAGAAATTCCAAGTCAATTTGTTTGGGATCGTAAGCAAAAGTTATGGAGACGACGTGTCATTGGTGACCCTGGAGTCAGTGTTATAGCAGATTGTTCGGATGGATCTGACGAGGCTTATTATCTCAGGATTTTGGCTGTTATAAAGGGCCCATGTTCTTATGAGGATATTTGGACTGTTGCTGGTATCGTGTATCCTACCTTCAAGGATGCATGTCATGCGATGGGACTAGCCAATTTATAAATTTCATAAGTTAAGCATTAGGATTTTAAGTTATTTTTTTATTTTTTATTTAATTTTATATTTTCATATGGCATATTACGATTACTAAAATGTTTTCGTTATAATTAATGAAATTACTAGGGTTTATTTTAATATCGTATTTTTTATCAAAAAGTCTCCTATAGTTTACCGTCATAAAAAAAAGCAAAACATGGTTTCCGAGTTGGAATTATGTTATATTTATAATGTTTATGAATTGATGTTTTTCTTTTCTTTCGTCTCACGGATCAACCCTAGCTTATTTTTGGAATATTTCCAACGAATATATCATCATTTGATCCGTTGTAACTCCGAAGGGAAATTTACCTTATCATAAAATAATAAAATAAACTTTTATGTGAAAATGGATCTTATATATATTTATCGTATTTTTTTATTAACAAAAAATAGTTAATTTTAGTTAGAAATTGTCATTTAATTTTGTTAGTTTTGACGAATCGTTGCTTAAGTATATAAAACCCGCCTTTAAAAGCATAACCGTCATTTCTAAAGTATTTTAAACACGCATTTTAAAACATAACCGTTCATTGTCTCCGTCTTATAAAAAGAAACGTTCATTTTTATCATCTTTCATCTCCAAACTAAATAAAAACAATGAATGTCTCCATGTAATAGAGTTTCTGAACTTCAGAAGACAAACAGCGGGCAACGTATTTGTGTCCAAGTAGTTAGAAATTATTATGATTTTACTCTCATTGGTTGCCCTAATCGGATGTTAGTTCTCGCTGATGAATTTGTAAGTTTATGAGATTTTAAAAGATTATCCCTGTTCATGTTTTGGAAATGTAATCGTTTATTGTTTCTTTTTTACTAAAACTGTGTAGGACAATCGCATCCTGTGTACCATGCCATTTGAAATACTTGACAAATTCGAGGATGTGTTGCTCGAAGGAGAGTGGTATTTTCTTGGTAATTTTGCAGTTACCGACAGATTACCACATCCAAGTATATCATCAAACAACTGTCATATACATATCAACGAGGGTACAATCACTGAGAAAACCGATCCGAAGTCTTCCAGAGAAATATACTCTTTCTGTCCATTCATAGATATTTTGCTTGCGTCGATTCAAACAGAACGATATCTTGGTAAGTATCTTACATGCATGTTATTATCTTGGTTTAACTTATTAACTGAGAAATGAATTTTTTCTAACTTAGTTGTTTGATTTTGCAGTTGATCTTCTCGGGGTTGTCACTTTTGTTCAGAAACTTCAAAGAGGAGTTCATATGTCCGATACATCGAATACACCCACAGAACGTCCACTTATTCGTTTTGTACTCGAAGATCTCGGGTAAGTACAACTTATCCTCAGAGTATCTGGTGTCAGACTTGGGTTTCTTGATATATTAAAATATGTTAATTATCTTCTATGTTGGTGTAAATATATACAGTGGAAATTCCTTGAAATGTATTGCTTGGGATAACTTGGCAATGAAATTTGAAGAACTTTGGACGAATCGTGATAAGTCTTCAAGGCATATTATAGTATTGGGATTTTTCTCTTTCAATAGGTGGAGGGGTACGTAAATATTAATTATTAATATCTATTCAATATGGCAATTAATCAGAAGTTTAACAGATTTATTGTTTCCACATGCATACTGAATATGTATATGTAATTAGATGAGTAGATAGTTGAATCGGAAAGATTCATATCTGATATTCTCGAGGATCCTCCTACTCCAGAAGTGGCAATAGCAAAGATGAGGTATGTAGATTCCAATTTTGATGTTATATCCTGTATATGTATTCTATTGACATCTATTTTATGATTTTATAATATTGTCATATTGTACCAGGCTTGAAACTGCAGTTGATTTTACCCCTTTGGATGATGAATATGAAGATCAGTATCCGTAGGAGATATTAAATTTTTATTTCGTTTTTTATAGGTTGTGTATTTGAACAACATAGCTATTTTTTATTTTTATTGTAATAAATAAAATATTCAATATCTATAAACTTCATTTGTTCCGCAAAGCATCTCATTTTAGCGTATTGTTTTTGATTTACAAAGAGTGTCACTTTTTGTTTTCAATGCAAAATTCTGTTCATAGTCCATTGACACTGTTGTTGATTTAAAAGTATTATAATATTTTACTAGGAAAATAAATATGCATATATATAATAAATATATATTTTAGAAATTGAAAAAAGTAATGTATACAAAAATAATAATATGAGAAGATTTTTGATATAGTACCATCGTTTATTGAATCAAATGATAAAAACATATAAAAAAAAAAGAAAATAAAGCATGCGAAAAAAGAAACTATTCAAAAATTTAATATAACACCATTGTCTGATTCCGTGATTGTGGTCCGCATTCTCTCGACTTCGGGTAGGTTAGGGTTTAGTAAAATTTCGGTACAATCGTATGCAGTTATCGCTGCCCAAGCATGTGCAAATTTGAACAGTTGCACGAAACGTATAACACAAATGTTAATTTTGTGTTCTTTCCGTGATAAAGCAGTCATCAGGTCCAGTGCATAGTCGTTCCGTAATAACACTTGCAATCTAACATCTCTGTTGGGCATATAATAATCATATAATGTAGTAAAAATTGATAATTACAGTGATTGCAATTGAGAAACATATTTAAAAAACTTACGATTCGTTACGGAGTTCCACGTAAACATTACCCCATTTTTTGGCTCTTGGAGGATTTGTGACTAAATGTTCCAATCACTGCGACGTGTCCAATTATATCTAATAAAAAGATTAGTTAGTCATTGAGAAAATTTATAGATATAAAACAGCATATATTTTTTGTTATTATTTATTAATTTATCTAAAGTCATACCAACAAAAAACAATGGGTCTCGGAGATTGTTGTGTATGTTACCAAATTCAACGATAGTTAGGTAATTGTTGTTATCATAGAAAGGGATCTTTGAAAAATAAGTTTGAGAATTTTATAATTGTGCAACGTCGGCCTCAAGTCTCCGATGACAGGGACTACACCAAAACGGTACAGAATAATTGAATCTCCTTGCTTCACTTCTGATGTAAAACTGTCTATAAACCCTTTTGATATTGATCCATGTATTTTATCACCCTAAAAAAACAAAAATATGTATATCAGAGACGTGATATGCACGAAAAATATAAAGTCACCGGAATACCTTTTTATCAACCAACACCAAACTAAAGTGTTATCAGGTTCACCGATGTGCTCGAACATACGCAGTATTTTCACACGAATACGGCGTAGTTGAATTGATGGAGTTATATCGGAGACATTGGTGTAAGTCATGTTTTTCATTGCTAAAAGACAAGCAGCGATCGACATGATGTAGTGCCTATAAAACCTAAAAAGTAGTCGTCATATATAACTCGGTAATGCTAATACATCGTTTTTATATATAACGATGTAAATGGCTCACCTCCGATATATTCCTAATACCAATTGGAAAATTGTTATAATTATAATAGTATATTATAATAGATCCCTAATACAAATCGGAAACGGTATCCCTGTGATCATGATAAATTTTCTATCAAGGTCCTATGTTATCCTAAAAATGTAAAATAAGCATTAAGGTATCTCAAAAATGTAAAATATTCGATATATCCTTTTATTTTAAATTGTATAAATAGGAAACAAAAGTTTGGTTTAAGTATTGTCTATGCTATGTTTATTTAAATTATCTTTGGACGTAATCGTTGTAATTGTTTTGAGGCTCTGGGTTTGCGTTTAACCTAAATGGCTTATTTACTATCTATCGCCGCCGTGTATAAAAAATATGATCAAAATCTGTTTGGAATTTCCGAACTCGATCCTACCAAGCATATATGGAAGACTAAGTTGAAAGTCTTACGTAAATTTAAAAGATTTCCTGAATGTGACCGCACGTTAGACTTTATAATGGGGGACTGGAAGGTATAACACATCAATTTCATTATTATATTTTAGTTTTTGTAATGATAAATGTCTGAATGTTTGATTCCATACTTCTCAGGGACAGAAGATTTATGTAACTGCACCGATTGAATTTTATGATAAGTATTCGAGGATATGTAACGAGGGTGATTGGGTTCTTCTAATAAATTTTAATCTATTGCCTCTTACTGGTGAATTTAAGCCAAGTACACATCCTTATATGATTCAACTTACCAGTGATACAACATGTGCAAGCTCTTATACTTTAGATATCAATGGTTATTTTTCGTTCGTTGTTTTCGAAGATATTATGAATGGGACTATTGATTTTAACTACTGTGTGGGTGAGTATTCTGTGTATTTTTCATTACCGATTTGTCATGCAGTTACTATATTGATTATTTGATATTCATTTTTTTTTTAAAACAGATTTAATCGGTAAGGTTATCAACGTTGGAAACTCTCACGATAGAATTGGATCTTTAGGATACTCTAGACAGCCTATAATAAGATTTGATCTCGAAAACGAAAGGTAATCTATTTTATGTTAATAGAATTTAAAAAATGAATTTTTAAGTTTAACTCAGACTGATATTTGTTTGATGGGAAACTTTAGGAACCGACGTTTATCATGTTTTTTGAAAGGTGATTATGCTGAAACTTTTCTTCGTGAGTTGGGTGGATGTAAACAAGATGTCATTATTTACATCATTCGTTTTGCGAAGATAATTGTTCGACGAGGTATATTTTTTATTTTTGTAAAGTATATGCGATAAATATGATTTGATTTTCGTTTGTGCGATAATATAGGGTGTTTCTTGGCAACTACGTCGTATGATTGCACACAAGTTATTCTAATTCGCCATGCTTCGAGGTCTATCAGTTTCGAGAGTTGATATCCAGTGTTAAACCCTGATGTTACAAGTTCTGTGCTAATGTTTTAGGAATTATTTTATATCAATTTTTATTTTTAGGTTTTGTGGTTTGTGTTAAACATCGTATGTGATTTGAATAAAACTTGACTTTTGACGCAGTGTATGAAAATAAGATTTTTTAATTATTTTTTTCATGTATGGATTTCGATGTTCATAGTTATCCCCAAAACGCTTGCGTAACGAATTGTAGTATAATTGTCCACGAGAAAAAAAAAATATGTGATATAATTTATTGGATGATATGTTAAATAACCATATTTTTGGGACAATATTCAATTTCTAAGAAATATAACGATAGTCTTTTCGGTTTTCGTAAAACATTAGGATAATATATTTGTTGTAATGTAGAGATATATTTTTAGGATTAACTCTGCATATTTGGAATAATAAATAATTATTTATAGATCCGCGTTATTGTAATGTAGAAGTATTTCAATAGTATTTTAACATTATCACGAAAAATGTAAATTTTTGATATTGGAGTATTATGGTGCATTAGAGAATATAGGCATATTATCGCGAAGAATAAGTAATGTTAACATTATTGTGCGGTTTTCTATTTCGAAATTCTTTTTATTACCAAAATCTTAATTTATTATGAGAAGCTAAAATGTATATTTTGCATTATCGCGCAATATAATATTCTATATATATAGTTTGTTAATGATTGTGTATTTAGATCACACATTTTTTTTTTGTTCGTGCTGTTCACCAGAAAAAATGAAACATAAGCTTGGGCGTCCTCAGAAAAAAGGTTCATCTTCGTCGATTGCTCCAAATAAATGTGTTTTTTAAGTAAATTACATTTTAAGACATTTACGTTGTTATAAACTTGCTTACTATTAAATGGAATTTGTAGGTGGTAATGCTAAGAACGCACGATATGCTCCTACCAGTGTAACCGATATAGACCAACTTGGAGGTTTGTTCCGTTACAATATCAATGAAGTTCCTGATCTAACACCCCCGGGAATTCGTAATGCACAGCAGAGACGAATGCATATCATGCGTGAGAGGAGAAAAAGAAAAGAAGCTATTGGTTTGATCTTCTTTTTCGTAATTACAATGTTTATTAATAATTATATGCCTGATTTACACTTATTATTTTTTCCGTAAAAAAAAACAAACAGATCTTTTGGCTACTTCTATCAACACCGAAGAGTTTGCTTGCTTTATTGCTACTGATTCTGAGTCTGATATGGATAATGATGAAAACTCTATGTCGGAAAGTGAGGATGTGGAAAAATCGAGGCCTGGTAATAAAAAGAAAGGAAGACCCAAAAAACGTGCTAAAATCTCTGATTTTTGTGATGAGGATGCAACAGAGACCGTTGTTACTAGAACAGATTTATTGGAATCAGTTAGTCCTGGTCTGAAAGATGGAGGTTATGGTTTTCATTGTACTAATATATTTTATTCAATACATAATATATAACTACTGTGTAATTAATACTAAGCAATGAATATTATTTTAATTAGGTTATTACGACGATGGTGATCCTATATATATATGTGGTAATTGTAAGGCTTATATGTGGTATGGAGAGAGGTTGGGTAAACGATATCGACATGGGAAGCCTATATTCTCCATGTGTTGTGGTCAGGGTAAAGTCATTCTTCCACTTCTTAAAACCCCTCTGAAATCCTTATTAGCATTGATGTATAATGATGGTGATTTGCGTGATCACTTTCGTGAGTTTATCCGGGCGTATAATATGATGTTTTCTTTCACTTCTCTTGGAGGAAAAATAAATAAAGAAATCAACGACGGGAAAGGTCCTTACATTTTCCAAATGAGTGGGGAGAACTACCATTCTATAGGGGAGTTGCTACCACCTCCTGGAAAAGAACCAGCCTTTTTACAGCTATATATATATGATACCGCAAATGAAACATCTAACCGAATAGCTGCTTGTGGGTATGATTATTATTCTTTTGGTTTATATTAAATTTAATCATTGAGATCAATTTTAAAACATATATGTATTGTTATTAAATGTTATATGGTTCTAACTGTTATAAAAATTTATTTTAAAAATTTTACAGGAAAACAGGACCGGCTGATAAATTGCGAGTGAAGGTTGTTGAGAAAATAAAAAATATGCTAGATAAACATAACAAACATGTGGATGCATTACGAAACGTTCGAGAAAGGTTTGATCCTAACGATGATACAAGCCGGTTAAGGATAATTTTAAAGTGTGACAGGAAAAGCGATGGAAGGACTGAGAATCTACCAGCTACTAATGAAGTTGCTGCATTGATACCTAATGATTTCAATGGTCAGGTAGATGCACGTGATATCATCATCGAGTGTAAAAAGACTGGGAATCTCAAAAGGATCAGTGAACTACATCCTGCGTATCTGCCTTTGCAATATCCATTATTATTTCCCTATGGTGAGGACGGGTTCAGACTTGGTATCGATATTGGTTTTGTAGATACCCAAGGGAGGAAAAGGTTGCATATTACTATGAGAGAGTTTTTTGCTTACCGCATACAAGAGAGGGTTGGTGAGTCACCAATCATCCATTTATCTGGAAGATTGTTCCAGCAGTTTTTAGTGGATGCGTACACGATGATTGAGACTAATAGACTACGTTTCATATCAATGAATCAGTCTAAACTTCGTTGCGAAAATTATGACAAAATAAAGAAAACTGTTGATGAAGGTGACACTGATCTTTCTGACAAGGGTAAACGTATTATTATACCTTCTTCTTATACTGGTGGTACAAGGTATATGGTGCAACATTATCTAGATGCGATGACTACTTGCCAGCATTTTGGTTTTCCGGATCTTTTCATAACCTTTACGTGTAATCCCAAATGGCCTGAGATTACCAGGCACCTTAAAAGACATAACTTGAAGCAAGAGGATAGACCAGATATATGTACGCAAGTGTTCAAGATGAAACTAGATGATCTCATGCACAGGCTCACCAAAGAAAATGTGTTAGGTGTCGTAAAAGCCGGTATGTTTTATTAAACTAAGTATCTTATTTCGTTTAGCAAGATAATGTTCATAACATTGCTAGATGATCATGCTAACTAATCTTTTAAAAACTACCATTTATTCGTTGCAGCGATCTACACGATTGAGTTTCAAAAACGGGGGCTACCTCATGCACACATCGTTCTTTTTTTAGAAGCTGGTCACAAGCTACCAACTGGTGATGACATTGATAAGATAATATGTGCTGAGATTCCTGACAAGGATATTGATCCAGCGTTGTATGAGATAGTAGGAGATGTCATGATGCATGGACCATGTGGTGCTTTGAATAAGGATAGTGTTTGCATGGCTGAAGGAAAATGTACAAGTTATTTTCCAAAACCTTACAGTCCGATCACTAAAATAGATGATGTTGGATATCCTATATACAGGCGACGTAATGACAAGAAAGTTATCGTTAAAAAGGGTATTGAATGTGATAATGGATTTGTGGTTCCTTATAATAGGAGTCTCACACTGCTTTATAGGGCTCATATCAACGTCGAATGGTGTGTACAATCTCGATCGCTAAGTATTCATTGCGTTTTTGAAAAAATATCTGACAACTTCTGATAGATTTGAATAGATGGATATCTATAGTTTTTGATATATGTATATCTATAATATTTTGTAGATGTATATCTCCAATATACAATAACTTAACATTTTTTATTATATATATAATATTAATGCCTAAACCGCATGTAAACATAAACGATTGTGTCTTAATCGATTGGAGTGTAAATAAAATAAAGAAATGGATAATCAGGCATATGTCATTATTCTTAATAATGTTCTGTCAAAAAATACCGCGTGTTGGATTATTAAAAAATATGTCAATAACATATATAATAACTGATTTGATTCTAAATCTGTTTGATGTAAACGATTTATTATGTTACATTTAAATTATATATCACCTGAGCCCAAAATTTGTATACATTTTATGGGCCAAAAAATTCCGTGTTGTAACCAAAATCCGACTCTTCCTTTAACAAATAAATTGTGATGGTCTTGGATGATCAAGAGGTTAGTCCTATAATTTATGAATATCTCGGTTATTGCCCTGATCTATTAAATTTATTAGTAATTAATAATGTTTTCAATATCAATCATATTGTTAATGTGTTATCTTAATATTTTCTAATTTTATTACGTATAATAATTCTTTCATCTAATTAAAGAGTTTTAAAATTCAAAATAATGAGAAAAAAGTCAAATAGAATTGTCAAACAAAATAAATGAAAACATCAAATGAAATTGGTAGATTCAATGGCTAGGGAAAATAGGTGAGTGATCAAAAAAGTAGCCATCTTCAATGTTGTTAAAATCATCTGTGTAGTCAAGCCTGCAAGAACAAGATAAATAATGAGTCGAATATTCAACAATTTTGTTTAGTAAATTTACAAGATGATAACGGTGAACAATGCTTACATAAAATGAGAATTTTCGACTTCAGGAATTGGTGGATTGAACAATATTTCAGAGAATTCTCGACCAGAACAAACACATATTTCATCTGTACAATATAGAAAATTATATTAGCTACAATTGATATAAATATAAATTGATATATGGTTGGTCGATAGAATGAGAAATAACCTCCATATCGACACATCTCCCAAAATCTCAATACACAGAAAACGATTTTGCGACGAGGAGTATTTTTCCATAAGGACTCAAAATGTTCAGCATCTCTTCCCCATGCTATGCAATTGATGTCGACACCCCTAAAAATCAGAATTAATATATCATTTTCCTTAACATCGAGAATATGATAGTAAAGATTTATATATGTATTAGTCTTTGTATCAATGGAGTCTTACTCGAAATCTCTAATTGTAAATTTTAGAACACTTGAGTTGATTCTCTGATTTCCGATCCAAAATTGGTCTTGACGTTCCAATTGACAAACTTTAATAATACCTCCGATCAAATCAACTAGCATAAAGCAATATATTCATATAATTAAGTAGAGTATTAATTAATCTAATTGAGTATAATAAAATACTAAGAAAACATACCAACGTCTATGTTTTCCATCAGAGATTCGTCAAGGACACTTCTAAAATTAGCAAATGAATACAACTGGTCATCTGATTTAGGCGATGTCTTCTCAACATGAGTATCCTCATCGATACAGATATGGAGACCATTGACTGTAATCCTCGAAGTTCCCATGTGTGGAGTAATTTTGAAGTTACCAATGAAGTACCAATCTTTATCATACATCATGCCTTCATAATGGTCTACTAAACGATTCGGAATCGATGCACGTATTCGATCACCCTAGATTTTCAGTTAAAAAATAATGATGGTATTGATAATATATTAAGATTCAGACAGTAATATATTAAGATTCAGACAATATGTTATTTTTGAAGTTATACTTACATGTTCGTCTGCGAATATAAACGATCGCTGAATACCGTGAACACCTAGGCTTTCCTCGACACTCTTGATAACTTGAACACAGATAAAAGATCGATCAGATGCTATACCTGAATCAGAAATCATCGTGCAAGGAGACATTTTTTTCAAAAATAGATGCAGTTATTCTTAACAATGAATAGAATCTGATTACGAGTAACAAATGGGTACTCACCGTTACGACAACCAATAGTAGTGTTTGCAATGTTTTGAAAAATAACGGTCATATTTACCACCGCTAATTTAGTTGAATATATATGTCATGTTTTGTTATAATTATAATATAATAATTATGAAAATCAATAATAGAAAGAACCTCATCAGAATCATTATTAGATGATAAAATGACATATAATTGTGATGATTATTAATATTTATTTTATTGTGATAATAATTGTGATACTAGCTTTTTTAGAGGCTTAGACATAGAAATTTTTTTTCTGAAGGAATATTTATTAGATTTTATTTCGTTTATTATATAAAGTACAATTTTTACTATATTTGATTAATATTAATGGTATAATTTCATTTTATTATTGTAAATAAGTGTTGTTCATCTTAAAAAAATGATATATACCGAAAGTTTAACAAAAAATATTATACAATTTAACTATTATTCATAAACTCAAATATAAAAATATTATACGATTTCTTAAATATATAAAGCCCGCGCTTGGCAAAAATTGAAAATAAAAATGTGATGTTTATGCTACAAGAATTTCAATAATCAAATTATAATAAGGTTTATATAATGATTGTGCCCGCGCGACGCGGGCAGATACCTAGTTTACTAAAATATGAGCTTTCTCTTTTGGAAAACAAAAGAGTTATGCATCACAGATTCTCAAAAGGATATTTATCCTTGGATCCTGTGGTATATTTGGAAAGCGAGGAACGATAAGATCTTCAACGGGAAAGAAATTTCTCCGGTAGATACTTTGATCCACGTCAAGGTTGAAGCAGAAAGTTGGAAGATTGCAAACCATCCAAAAGAAGAAGAGGACAGATCAGACAGAAGTTGTTAGATTCAGGTGTTTAAGAGTTAGATTAATCATTTCCTTTCTTTAGGTAGCTGTTCTTAATGCTAGATCTTTCATAATCAGCTTGATCTAGATCATAGACATTTCTCCACCCACAGGTGTTTGATGAAATGTGTGAAAGAGCTATTTAAAGGTTTTTGCTTTATTCACCATGGGAATGCTTGTTTAAAGTATTAATGACATGTTAAAACTGAATCTTAATGCATTCTGATCATCATTACACTAGTGGGAATTGGGTTTGAATGCTGTTAATATTGTGATTATTCTCTTGGGAAAGAATTGAATTTATGTGAAAAAATGGTATTGAGAATTTATGTGAAAAAACCCGAAGTTTTTCACACATAGTATGTCTTGATGAAAATAAAAATGGACCATCATCAGAGATGAATCACCATTTTGGTTGAACGAGTATTAGATATGATGGTTGAATATCTTTAAAAGTCCCCCAAATTATATAATAAATCTAAAAACAAAAATCGGTTTAAGATGAATGGACAAGTAAAGCCATCATCTCAAAGAAAGTATAAAGAGTCTCACAAAATGATTTGATACATAATACAAGGCCCAAAGATGAGTAATTGGATATGTTGTTGATCCTAAAGTAGGATTCAGTTCGAGATGGATGAACTTGAAGTTTCATCATCTCGAATGGGAAAATTAAAGAGTGTCATATCTAAAGTAAGTGGAACATCTAGAAGATTATGTTCACACTCTCTATTGGTTTGATGGAAAATTTATAATGCAGATCCAGAAGATTTCAAGATTAATAAGTAACATTTATTCCATCAAATTTATTGTTAAATATTAAATATCTATTGGGTATATAATACATGCATCCACCACACTGCATAAGAGTGAAACCTAAAGTGAATGATTAGCCCGTCAACCGGAGATTTGCATGTTACAAGATTTGTACACCATTATTATAAAAAGAATATTGGATAGTTTGGGTCCTTGAACAAATGAGTATGAATATGAAGTTCAAAAAGTTCAAAAGATCACTATTCAAAATACGTTTCAAATTAAATGCCAAAAGCGTATATAAACAGCTGATGAATGAAATTTATTGAAATGAATTATCGGTTGAAATAATGGATTCTCGTATAAATGATTTCGAACCTAAAGTTGAAGGATAATTCATTTATTTAACTTCCAGACATACATTTGGTATGAAAGAAAATCTCAGTTATAGCTGAAAATGCTTTAATAAGAATAATAAAATAATCTCAGTTATCAATAAAAGTCTATGGCACGTAAGAAACGTGATAGACTATTTTGGTTCCAAACAAATCCTCATAATGGAAGGGAGAAAATATATGTTGAAAAGAAGATAAATCTCTTGAAAAGACCCGTTAATATGGTTAATATATAATAAAATCAGATACCTGAATAAGATTATCGATTAACAATGTCATTACGGAAAAAAAGTGGAATAAAAACAATTTAGTTGTCGACAATAAAAAATAGCAAGCCACATTAATTAGTATCATAAATCCACCTCTCTGAATGAGTGTATGAGTGTAGAAAGAGAAAATTATGGGTCAAAAAGTAAATAAATGTAACATATCCAATTCATATATATGTTCATCTTTTTCCTTAAAAATATTATTTAAATTTAAATATGTCAATTAATTCTAAATTAGTATATGATTTATTATTTTTGAAAAGATATAATAATAACTTATTTTATAATTTTTGGTAAATATGATAACCTATATTTTAAGGAAATCTATAACAAATCTAAATTAAAATTAAAATTTTAGATTATATTAAAATATAAATTGAATATATATTATTTTATTTAAATTATAATATCAAGTATAAATTAATATCTGATTTTTTATTTTTGTAAAGATAATAACTAACTTTCTTTGATTTTTGGTAGATAATCTAATAATTATTTTAAAACACTAAAATAATTTCAATTTATATTTAAATTTGAATTGAGATTTAAATTTATATATATAATAAAAAATAATATTTTATTAATATTTAACTGAATTAATCTGTTTGACAATAAAAATAGCAGTTATCCAATAATAAAATAATTTTAAATAAAAAAAATTCTGTTTGGAAAAAAAGTGTTTCTCATTTAATAGATTTCTTTATAGGAGAACTGCTAATTGTAAACGGGCTGATGCGAAAAGTTAGTAGGCCACATTATAGCCCAAAAGGTTGGTCGTATGTAAGAAAGAGATCCTTCCCGTGACTTGACCAACGACGAAGCAACTTCCGATCGGCTTTTCGGACTGGAGATCCCAGCGAAGATATCACGAAGAATAACTCAAATTCTCTCCACGAGGGAGGAAAAAAAATGGATTATCTAGGGATTGATTTGAGCTGCGCGATCGGATCCCTCCGGAACGGTGAATTCCCGGAGAAAGATTGTCTTCTCCCTCTAATTTCCAAGCTTCTCGGTTACTTCCTCGTCGCTGCTTCCATCACCGTCAAGCTCCCTCAGGTATCAATCAATCAACAATTTCTCACCCTTATTCCCAATTTTAACTACTCCGTGTTATCTTTGTTGTGCTTATTGATAGATAATGAAAATCGTGCAACATAAGAGCGTACGAGGCCTAAGTGTTGTGGCATTTGAGCTGGAGGTGGTTGGTTATACAATCTCTCTTGCGTATTGTCTTCACAAAGGTCTTCCCTTTTCGGCTTTTGGTGAAATGGCGTTTCTTTTGATCCAAGGTGTGTTTGATAAATTATATGATCTGCTCAAATTTTATGGATGCTCGCTAGCTAATGTTATAATGTTATGGAGGTTGTTAATCTAGACAACTGACACTCGTAAGATGGAGTAGTGATACGTTGATTCTGAGAATATCCAGATAAATCTAAATCGCAAAGTCATTGGTCTCGTCCGAGAATCTCGAATGAACCAAGCCGTAAAAACCTTAAACGATAATGGAGAACTAGTTAGATAGTAGGACTAATGTATATACAATGTTAGTTCTTACATCTATGCTGCATCAATTTGTCAGTAGGAAACCTTTATGATATATGTTCATTGTTATGATTTCTAAAGCCTTCTATATCTCATTTTTCTTTTGCAGCTTTAATCTTGGTTGCTTGTATCTATTATTTTTCTCAACCAGTCTCTATGACAACTTGGGTCAGAGCACTCCTGTATCCTTTCAGTTTAAGAATTCTCTTAGCTTTGATTTAAGACCCTTTCTATTTGCTTTGCTTAATACTATGCCGTTATAGATATTGTTCTGTAGCACCAACTGTGCTTGCTGGGCAGATTAATCCTACGCTTTTCGACGCTCTTTATGTGAGGAAAAACTATTTATTTTATTCACTTAAGGTTCTAAGTCTGTGTGGATACATTTTGATTGTATACCTTTGTTGTAGGCTTCACAGCATGCGATATTTCTCTTTGCAAGACTCCCTCAGATATGGAAGAACTTCAAAGTAAGTTTTTACTAAATAGTCATTTTCTCTATATTCTGATTTGATGAATCTTCTTGTTGGACTAAGTATTTTTGAATGGTGTTTAGAGCTTCAGTCACGTATCCAACGATTACCGCAATCTTTTAGTCGTGTTTTTATGTTCCTTTGGATCAAGTTTATGGATAACTGTAAACTCTCATCGGATAGTTTAAAATTTCTGGTAGATCTATGCTCATTTTAAACAACATATATTTCTATAATTTCTTCATATATATACTCTCAGAAGTATAAATGCAAAACATTTGTATGAAAGCTGCAGCTTATGGGTCAGATTACTTTCTTTCTCTCTCTCTCTACAGAACAAAAGCACCGGAGAACTTAGTTTCTTAACTTTCTTCATGAACTTCGCTGGATCCATCGGTAAGAGGGCTCCCTTCATGGATGTGTCGTCCATTGTAATTCTCTGGTCTATTAATATTTGTTTGTTTCCCGCGCAGTGAGAGTTTTCACCAGCATCCAAGAAAACGCCCCGCTTAGCAGTATCCTTTGCAGCTAATATTTGCTTGTTATTTTAATCATATATGGTTTTATATGCTCTATAGAAAGCTTTTCTTTTTCCTCAACCTTTCAATAGTTCTTACGGGTTTTGCTCTCGGAGTCTTCACCAACGGAACCATCCTGAGCCAGATTTTCTTGTATCAGAAGCCTGCTGCAGCAAAGGAAAAGAAAGCCAATTGAAACTGTAGAAAGATGTCCTAAATCAAATACTGGTGTTGGAGGCACCAAAAAGAGATTAGTCAATGTTGCAATTATTGTTTTTCTATTAATATCCATGTTCCTGGATGTTCAGATCTTTCCCTGCTACTGCATAACGGTATGGTTCAATTTGATTCTGATATTAAAGTAGCTGTTTGAGGTCTGATTAATTTTTTTCATGTTGTTATGATACCTAAACCTGAAACTACACGAAATTGCAAAATCAAAAATCCACGCTTGTTATTGTTTAGGAAGATAATCCGATGGAACTTAGCGTTTGGTCTAAAGATCGAACTACATGTTTATGCTTCAAAACACATTCTTCATTTGCATGCGCTTCAGATTAACTTTGACGACATGATGTGAAGACACTGTCTTGGATAAAGAATTTCAAGCTGTTGGTATTGCCTAGTTCTACGAATAGCCTTGGGCTAAAATGTCAGTTCGGTTCAGGTTTGGATCTGCTAAAATATACGCACACAAGCAAAAATGTCAGTTCTACGAATAGTCTTGGGCTAAAGAATCCACATCAAAAAAACTGAACCGAAACCGATCTAAAAATGTCAGTTCGGTTCAGGTTCGGATCTGCTAAAATACTCGAACGGCTGAACATCTTCGGGTTTTAGCTGAGTTGGGATAATATCTTATACCTGAAATATTAACCGATGTAACCAAACATAAACATACACATCTGATATATTTGACTCTTCACTCTATGTCTGCATTACGTGGCTTTAGGTATGAAATATGTCTTGGCTTCTTTGCTTACTTTTTATTATCTCGCCTTTAGTTGTGTTACATCCCAGCCCAGCCAGAGGTCCAGTAAGCACAATTTCTAATTTCTACAGATATAAAAGGAAAAAACCCTAAACAGACTCATTCTTGCAGAAGAAGTCTCAGCCCCTAGAGAGAGATCAACAAGCAGCAGCCACCAGGAGCAGCTACCACCGCCGATCAACCATCCCTCACCGCCCGAAGCTTCGCCTTCGCATTTTAAGCTCTCGCGAGACCACCCGAGCCACCAAGGAGCTTTGCCGAGACCTGCAGCGCCGCCACGAGCCACCGCCGAGCCAAGGAGAAGCCACCACGAGCCCTTGCCGTCCTGACGTCTATTTGATTCCTTCAATTCTCAATCTCTTTGATCCAGATCTGCAAATATGCCAAGGTAGAGATTAGATCTAAGATTTTAGTACCTTATTTGTTCGTTTTGGTGTATTAAGTCTAGAATTATTCAGGTAGATTGATTGATGCACATAGTTAGAGCATGAGAAGGTGAATCGATTAAGAAAAGCATTGAATGAAGCACCAGCATACTTGTTTGTTCACCTCGTTGATTGTCTAATGATTGTAAAGTAGCTAGAATGAGGTGATCGATCTATGAAAGAACACAGTGGTTCGATTATTGTTTGTTGGGGTTCATTGGAAGAAAAGATGATCCACATTGCTTGGTTGTTGAGGCGAACCACGTGAAATGTATTTGTGACCAATAAGAGTTTGCCATGCCTTGTATCATGATGTAGTTTGCCATGGCTAGTACCATGATGAGAGTTTGCCATGGCTATTACTATGATGAGAGTTTGTCATGGCTAGTACCAGAATTATCCCGTGTGTGCGTTTTGCTTGTGTGCTTGTAGAGCACTGTTTGTTGCTTGTTTAGCTTTGGGCTTAATATGTTGGAAATAAATGAATAATATAATGGGAGTGTAGATTTAGTCCTCACTGAATAATTCCCCAATTGCTTACGGGTGAGTATGAAGATTCTGATCCTGATGACTACGAGGAGGAGTAATCCGAAGTAGTGTGGTTTTGGGACGGATTTTTCTTAAGCTTTATTTCAATTCAGTATTTCTTTTCAAGACTTCTTCGTAATTTGCTTTGGTTTTACTTTTAAGTTTTAGTTATGAATTTTTAGTTACAAGACTTTAATTTTATTAATTGAGTAAGAGTATTATTCAGAAATATGGTTATTTAATCTAATAGTTGTAGTAAACCGATTTAGAATCGAGGGTGAATAGTCCAGTTCGTTTGGTAGACGGGTCAGGGGTTCATAAATTATATAGTTATTATATATATATATATATATATATATGTATTATGTATAGTTTAGTATTAGGTGTATGGTAATATACTATATACTAGTTTGTATAAACTATCATATATATGTATAGTAACTATACTATATTGCCGACTATAGAACCTAACAAATTATATGTTTTTCGTTCTTTGGAGGTTCCAAACTAGTATACTTGAAACGGATTTTGCAAACAATGAGGGTCATGACGGATGATACTTGTTACTTATTTCACTTTTCATTTTGAATTTGAATTTTGTTAGTTGTTATGTTTATGGAATTTGGATATTTGCAACTTTCAAATTCAACTTTGATGTTTTTTGATGATTGTTGATTTGTATGAATGTTAAGCAAGTTAGAATGTTGACAAAGTCTGAATTTTTTTTAAAGTTTTAGTAGATGAAGTGTCTGATTTTTCAAGTATATTGGATTGATTTGAATAATTTGAAAGGTTTGTTTGTTGGGGCAATTATATTTATAGGACAAAAAATCTGTAATATTGTCCCCTTAAGACTTTTTCAAATTTGGCCACTTTTGGACATAAATACCCTTTTATAGGATTTCGAAAATTAAAAAAAATAGTTTTACAGTCTAAAAATTTTGGAAAAATCAAAAAGGGAATTACGAATACTTTCTGAAATAGAATATATTTTTAAAAAAATTTTAAACAAATTAGTAGAAAGTGCATTCTATAAATCTATAAATTATAGAATAGGCTTTCTACTATTTCATTAGTTTTCTACTAAAAATATAGAATTAGTTTTCTACATTTCTTCTATGTTCTACAAATCTGTGAAACCGTATTCTATAAATTTATCATTGTTCTACAGTTTAGTAGAATTATATTTCTATAGTTCACTCTTTGTTCTACATCTTAGTAGAATTGGATTTCTACGGAAACTCTTTGTTCTACAAACTTAGTAGAATCTCATTTCTACGGAAACCCTTTATTCTACAATTATAAAATACCTATTCTACAATTCAGTTAAATGAATTTCCGAAAATCTAGGAGCAGATCTAGGAGAATATATTACTTTCTTTTTCATAATATTTAATTTCCTAATTAATTTTTGAAATATTTTTTTTCAATTTAGAGAATTCTGTCGCCATTTTTTTTCTTCCCCCTCCTCAATTTAGCGTTTTTTCTCCTCCTACAACCTACAAACTTTCACGTTTTCTTCATAACTTTTACGTTTTCTCCTTTTTTTTCGTACCACCTGCTTTAAAATATGTTACAAACCTACGTAACATGTGGATTATGGACTTCTGGTTTGAAGAGAGAGTGGAATTTTAATGTCGATGAAGAGAAAGGAGGAAGATTGATAACTCTGGAATCGAGTACAAGTTTTGAGGAGTTAAAAATGAAACAGTTCTCGTTATTCGTCTCCCGGAACATGAAACCAGTAACTGCATAATACTCTTGCATGGAGAATCGAAGAGGTCGTTGTCCGAAAATGAACCACAGTTCGTGCTTCTTGTCTGTCATAAGCTGTTTGCCGAGAATGCTGTGGATCAGCCTCGCCGAATACCCAAGACCATTCTCATGCATCTTCACAATCGACCCAAAAACTGGATCTTGCAAAACTATCTTATACTCTGCTTCCAGGTACTGCTTAATGAGGCCAAGAATCGACAATGTGCAGCGGTTGTTAATTTTATCAATTTCCGGTACACTTCATGGCGTAAAAAATTGTTTAGGCAAGTCCATATCCAATCCTGCGAATAAGAAATAAAAGATTACGGAAATGAGTAGCTATCTTCATACATACAACATCACATAAACGAGATTAATGAGTAGCAATCAAAGACAATGATAAAAAAAGGTAATTAACTATGTTCAACGTTTTTCATCATGAGAAAAACCCAAACCACGAAATTCCATGGACAAGGAAACAAAAAAACACTACGTAGCTGCACTTGAAAGAGGAATATCATCCAAGATTCAGACACGTTTATGAGAGATTCTTAAATAATAGGCTGCTTCAACTTCTATTCGATTTTGGCACCCAAAATAGCAGAACCAAATTCAGATTTTAAAGATAACCAGGCACCCAAAAGAAGATAAGTAGCAGCATTCCACAAAGCAATCAGAACAGTAGTAACAAGGCACTTGTACAATTATTTAACCTCTAGATTTAAACAAACGTAACTGATTAACATTATAGAAGACCAACGAACTGGAAAATCTCTGGATGCAAAGCTTGTCCATTAAGTCGAAAGTTCCTAATTCTACCAAAATTCCAAAGACGAACATGTATAAACTTTTCATTGTAGAAACCCAAGCAATATCATAATCTAGTAAAATTTCCTAAAGTCTAATCCATCTAATTCTTCACCAAATCACAGAGAAAAAACAATTTGTAACTATAAATTCAGACCATAACCACACTTCATCCTCTGTCTCTCTCAAGCGCACACACTTTCTCACTCTGTTTTCACAAACTCAAATCTCTTTTTTCTCTTTTGGCTCAAATTTACAAACATAACATGGGTAAATTCTTGAGTTTGTTAGATTAATAGACACACACACACGCAGAACGTTAATATAGTCTACAGACAGAACATCTTATTTCTACTTACAAAAAACTTCTAAACATAAACTAATTTTTTATTTACTCGTATGACTTTCACAGACAGAACATCTTAACATAAGCTCTAATCTCCCATGTAAAATTCGAAATTGAATAACAACAAATCATGGGAAGCTAACAAAGAGAAGAAGAAAACAATTAAAAACCCAATTTCGCAATAGAACACTGTCAACAAAAGAACACATCTTTGACTTGGATTATAACCGTAATTGAACACATAAGTTAAGAGGAATTCTTATTTGAGAAACCCAAGACTCAACGAAGCTCGAGCAACCCAGCACATGATTCCTCAAATTAATCAGAAATCAAATGCAAATAAAGAGCCTTTGAAAGAAGAGAGAAATCACCAATCTGGAAAAGAAGGAACAAGTACCTGAAAATAGGTTTTAAAAAATATTCCAGCGAGAGAGATTGACAATCTGTCCACACAAGCACTCGCCTTAGAAGCTATTGCATGCAGCAGAGAAAAGAAAAAGTATTCAGTTCAAGGATTCCACAACTACAACATCT